ATTTACAGGAATAAAGTTTATCATTTCATTTTTCTTTTAAGGAAGGATATGTGGTGGTGTCTTCTCTTTCATTATTGATGTTGGTTATTTGTGTTCTTTTTGGTTTTTTTGTAATCAGTCTGGCTAGAGGTTTATAAATTTTATTGTTGCCCCCCAAAGAACCAGCTTTAGTTTCATTGATTCTTTTCTCCCTATTGTTTGTGCATATTCTATTGCATTGATTTATGCATATATCTTTATTTCCTTCCTTCTGCTTATTTTGAGTTTATTTGGACTACTTTTTATAGTTTCTTACTGGGGAAGCTCAGATTATTGATTTTAGACTTTTCTCATTTAATGATAAAGTGTTTTTCCAGGTATTGCTTGTGTTTTTTTCATTTTTATTCAGGTTGTGATATTTTCTAATTTCACTTGTGACTTCTCCTTTGAACCACGAGTAATATTTAGAAGTATGTCCTTTAAATTCTCAACATTTAGTTTTTTTAGGCTATTTTGTTATCGACTTGATTTTTTTTTATGGTCAGAGAATGTATTTTGTATGATAAAATGTTGGAGGATTTACCCTTAAAAGTAATGACTTATGATATAGAATATGGTCTATCTTGGTGAATTTTCCATATATAGTTGGAAAGAATTTTTTTTGCAATTGAGTGGGATGTTTGGTACCTCTCAGGTCAATTTGGTTGACAAGGTTGCTCAGTATTTTTGTGAAAGGACACCAACAGTTCTTGCCATATAGTAGCCACTGTATTTTGTATTAATAGTGGAAATCTTCAGAGCTAACATTGACTCTGAAATGGATCAATTGATGAAAGTCATCAAATCCTTAAATTCATGGGTAATTTTTGTGGGGAAGGGGGAGGGAGGAAAGGGAGGGAGGATGGAGGTTGGTGATTTGTTTTGAATACCTCCTCTTTGCCAGGCCCTGTTTTAAGGCATAGGGAACACACTGGAAAACACTGATTCAGCCATACATTTCCCTTCCTTAAGAAACTTGTATCTCATGGAGACGACAGTATTAATACAATGAATGATGGAAGTGGACACGAGGTGCTAAAGCGATCACCCAAGAGAGCTCATGTTGAAGAAATAGAATTGTGGAAAGATTTTTAAATGATATATTAAAGATGCCTAAAATTCTCAGTAACAGTGCTAGTAGTCTCATGTCCGTGTAGTTTGCCTCAGAGGGGAGGAAGTTGGAGCGTAGGAGATGGTAGCAGTGCCAATATTTGATGAGTGTTTATTATGTCTGACCTCTGTTTTAGTTTGTTACGTGTATTAGCTTTTAATCACCACACTGACCCTTTGCTTGTGGGTACTGTTATCATCCACATTTTATTGAAGAGGAAACTGAAGCAGGTAGAGGTTGACTTGCCCAAGGTATAAGTAAGTTGTTGAGTTACGATTCATGTCAGAGCAATGCGGCTCTAACATGCCTCTGAGGTATAGAAGATTATACTGGTAACCCAGTTTACAGATAATAAGGGTTTGATCTAGGGTAGAGATGGATAGGATGGCAGTAGGAATGTAGAGAAGGAAACAGATGGGAGAGTGTGTGTTAAAGTAGAAGCTATAGCACTGGGATAAAATGAAGGAGGGACAAAATGCTGAAAGGAGCTCTTTCCTAGCAGAGAGATGGGGAGAGGATGCAGTGCCCATTAGGAGCTGATGGGTACAGGTACACATATGCACACACACACTTTTTTGAGATGTTTTCCAGCCAACTAGGTAAATTCCCTACTGGGGCTCAAGAAAGGTGGAAGGTATGGATGAAAAATTTGGTCATCTGTAACAGAGGTGATGTTTGGATCCGTGGGAATGTTGTGACCACCGAAGGGAAAAGAGAATGGAAAGAGGAGAGGAAAGATTTTAAAAGGCGACTTTAAAGATGTCTTACATTTATTGGGTAGCGTTTTGGATGTGGAGGTAGTACGGTTCAAAATTATGTTGATTCAGCAGTGGCAACTCCAGGGCTTTCTAGCTTTGCCTAGTGTGGCATTGAGAAAGGGGTGTTCAGTAGAGGGGGCATTGTGGTGGCAGTTGGAAGAGGTTGGCTCTCTGTGGCTTAGTCTACGTTGTGGACTTGGATGTATTATCTTATAAGTGGGCCTTAGCTGCCTTCAGAGTAAAATGGAAATAAGGTAGTAGGACTGAAAATGGAAGAGAACTTTATACAAATGTGATATTGGTATTGAGCCAGTCAGCTACTTAGATACTGTCACGAAGGTGAGATTATGTAACTCCTTTGGAATGATTCCATAATTTACAAAGGTAAGAATTTGTGGTTATACTGCACCTGGGCTCTTGGACTAAAAAGATCTTGAGTAGTGTCTTAGTCCATTCGGGCTGCTATAACCAATACCATAGACTAGGTGGCTTATAAACAACATAAATTTATTTCTCACAGTTCTGGAGGGCTGGAAAGTTCAAGATCAAGGTACTGGCAGATTCGGTGTCTGGTGAGGGCCTGCTTCCCAGTTCATATATGGCTGTCTCTCAGCTGTGTTCTCAGATAGTGCAAGGGGAAGGGATAAGGGAGCTTGGTGGAGTATCTTTTATAAGCACATTAATCCTATTCATGAGGACTCCACACTGTGACCCAGTCACCTCCCAAAGGCTCTACCTCCAAATTCTATCACATTGGGGATTAAGTTTCAATACATGAATTTTTGGGGAACACAAACATTCAGTCTGTAGCAAGTAATGAAATCATATTCTCATTCCCTAAATAGTGTTATGTGTATTAGCCATACTTTCACCCTGAAAATCTGAGAAATTTGATACACTGCTAAAATTCATCGCTCTGTCTTATGTAGTTGGCTCTCTTCAATAATTGTGAGTCACTTTGAGCCTTCGTTTTCTCATCTAGAAAACACGAATAACGGTTGCTGGTTGAACTAATTCAGAGGGATTGTGAGGGTTAAATGAGATGTTGCATTGAAAGCACTTTGTGAACTGAGAATTGTATAATTGAAGGTGAAATTAGTTACCTCCTGGGTTTGTGGTGTGTAGATGATTATGGTTCATCACTCAAGTTCATCTACTGTCACTACCTTCTGTTACCAGCGTGTTTATCTTACGTGGAAAAACAATATACAGTGTGTTTCATGAAATTCATTTTTGGAACTAATGCTTAGTTATTGGTACATACAAGTCATTGCTCTTTTGATTCTCTCAGACTACACACCCTCTACTGCTGGCCAGTTTTTCTATAATACAGTGCTTGTCAATGTGGGACTGGAGCAAAGCATAAACTTACCCTTTAAACTGAAAAATTCGTTTAAACAGGCAGCATAAATTTTTGATTATAGGCACATATAATTGTGGACAGTCCTTTTCCCCTTAGCTCTTCTTTCTTTTCTCTTTCCCATTTCTCTCTTACTGAATCCCGGAACTGGTACCAGACACTTGGTTATAGAATAAGAGTAGGTTTCTGGTGTGTGTACATTAGGTTTGGGTGGTAGTAATTGTAAGAGCTATACTTCCATAAGAGGTCCTGTCTGCTGTAGGCATGTAGTATACAAGGGAAGGTCCTTTTCAATAAAAGGTAGTCTGGGTCTTAGTGGTTATTCTCCTCCATCCCCTCTCCCCCAGAAAACATATGCATACCTGGGAGAAGTCAGTCACTAGGGCCCAGAGTCCAAATTAGGCTGGTCTATTGTTATGGTAAATTGGAGTTATCAGTCTGAACTAGTGATTCTTTCTCATATGTCTGTGGTGTCTCTTCCCCTCCCAACACACACACACCTATACACACACACCCCTGTTCTGTGATTTGGTGCTGTCTTATGACCAATAACATCCATTTTCTGATAGGCAACTTTTCATTTTCTTCTCTTACGTTCATAGTATAGAAGAGAATGAGCTCTGAATGTTTGTACTGTACTAAACCATTCTATTAACCAGACACAATACAGTTCTACTTGGAACAAAGATAACATTTTTATGTCCAACTTCTGACGATCCATTACACCAGTCATCACGTCCACAGTCCTTCTGCAGCATCACCCGGCTCATCAGTCATATCTGGTCGGTTTCTTTGTAACTCCCCTGAAATACTTGTATGGTTTCAGTAAATATTGATGTGGCTATTGTTGCCTTTTGTCAAGTGGAGTCTTCTCAGAGAGGCTGTCTGGTCAGCTGTTGTCCCATCAACCCCCCACGGGCACTCTACTGCTGATCCTTTTCTCCTTTTCCCTGGCCAGCCTCCCTAATTGATTGGCAACAGCCCTCATTCTTGTTCTTCACTCCTCATCTGCCTTTTCCAAACCTACATGTTCATCAGAATCATCTAGGGAGCTTAAAAAAGGAATAAGCACAATTCCTAGAGATCGATTTGGGATATCTGGGATGAGCTCTTGTAAATTTGTAGTTTCTAAAACCTTCCTGGCAGATTCTGATGAGTAATGAGTTTGGATGATTCCTCTTGGTGAATGAAGGCTACAGTGTGGTAATCACGTATCTTTAAACTAGAGTCATTCTATTGGGTAATAAATACCTTTGAACTTGCCTTACATTTGCAGGTATTCTTTTCCCTAAAAGGAAGAATATGACTCCCAGCCTCATCTGACCCCACTTTCCCCCACTTCAAGTCATTCCTATGCTCCAGAGATTGAGGACCTCTTGCTGTGTGGACATTATTAAAGGTCATGTTGTATTGAAGTTTTAAAGGAATTGAGGCAGATCCCAAGAAGATGGAAGGTTTTGGTTAGACACTAACCAGAGAATTGCCTGCCTGGATTTTTTGGGTGGCTTCTATAGTGGAGATCATCCTCTAGGAGCCAATAAAGATAGAGAAGCTACCTTTACTGGGGATCTTTCTCCAGGTTATCCTGTCCACTACCCTTCAATCTCTAACAACACCTAAGGCCTCTTAGGGGTAGGCCCTGCGTCCCTGTTCACTATTCCTGCTCCTACTCCCAGGTAATGCAGACTGCTTCTGGGGCTGACATTTGACCCAATTTAGGGCAAAGATTCTAGGCTATATATGTTTTGAGAGCATGACTGGAGAAGTTGTGGAAAGCTGGGGAAGGAGCAGCAATTTACAGAAGAGAAGCATAAGGGGGAATGAAACAAGTGTGCAGAGAGAAACCAGTAGTGCTGAGAGAATGATCTCCGTTCATGAGAACCTTCTCCTCGTTCTAGTCCGTGGTAAGGGTGCCTCCTCCCATGGGCTCTGAGACATCCCTGTAAGCTTATAACACATTCCCTTTTTTTTGGTTTAGCTAAGTCTTAGGGATTCTGTAACTTGAACTAAAAGTTGCATTATTAAAATAACAGGAAATGAACTATGTATATGACTTCTTTGTATTATATTTGTCATAAGATCAGTAAAAATAAAATACCATAGATGAATAGATCAGAGCCCTATTAGCCAGCAACAAGGAGTGTGACGTACCAGAAGTATGTGACAGGACAGTTTAGTTAAACTGAATAACAATTTGGCTATTAGATTATATGCACAGGGCATTTCTGCATGGTACCTGTCCCAAAGTTTTTAAAAAGTTAGTTTTTATTGATACATAATTGTACATATTTGTGGGGTACATGTGATATTTTGTTATATGCATTCAGTGTGTAATGATCCAATTAGGGTATCCATCACCTCAAACATTTGTCATTTCTTTGTGTTGGGAACGTTTTAGACCTTCTCTTCCAGGTATTTTGAAATATACAAAAAATTGCTCACTTTAGTCACCCAACTGTGCTATGGAACACTAAAACTTTTTGCTTTTATCTAACTGTAATTTTGTACCATTAACCAACCATTCTTCAGCTCTTCCCCCCTCCCTCCCAGCCTCTGGTAACCATCATTCTTCTCTCTACCTTTATGAAATCAACTTTTTCAGTTCCCACTTATGAGTGGGAATGTGTAATATTTGTCTTTATGTGCTTGGCTTATTTCATTTAACATAGTGACCCTCCAGTTCCATCTGTGTTGCTGCAAATGACAGGATTTCATTCTTTTTTATGGTTGAATGGTATTTCGTTGTGTACATACACCACATCTTTATTTATCCATTGATAGACACTTAGGTTGATTCCATATCTTTGCTGTTGTGAATAACACTGCAGATAAACATGGGCCTGTGTGCAGATATTTCTTCAATATGCTGATTTCCTTTCTTTCAGATATATACTCAGCAGTGGGATTATTGGATCATGTGGTAGACCTATGTTTAGTTTTTTGAGGAACCTGAATGTTCTTGGTGCTTTTGTTGAAAACCACTTGGCGATAAATAGGTGGATTTATTTCTTTATTCTCTATTTTGTTCCATTGGTCTGTGTGTCTGTTTTATGCCAGTACCATGCTGTTTTGGTTACTATAACTTTGTACTGTATTTTGAAGACAGTGTGATGTCTCCTAGCTATTGTTATTTTCATGTCTAATTAATGTAGCCATTGAATATCTTATTAGCAATTTTATCTGGCACAAGAGTACTTCTTAGTTTCTTCTTTGCTCAGTCATACTTTTCCTGGTTTATATTCATTGACATTTTAATGATGGTTCTTTTTCCAAAATAAATGTGTTATGTAGTTTTTCCACTCAAACTTCCTGACATTTTTAATATCATCCTTTGTTTAGACTATTAAAATTCTTTCATAAACAGTCTGTAGTAGAAGTATCAGATGTTATGGTCCTGGGATATAGAGACACCTCTCCTTCGATCCTCCTCCCATCTGTCTCCTCAAAATTACAGCTCCGTAAGAACTTAGTCATTTTACTTGGAGGACAACTTGTGGAACTTGCCTCAGCTTAGTGAATACCACTGCAGTTACCAACACTACAATTTATCTCTTTGCTTTGCACTCCCACCCTATGGGAGTACGGTACAGTAGTTACTGTAAGAATCCAAGCACCAGTGGATAATTTGTTCTTTTTGGCTGCCAAGCAGATGAAGTCCATGTTTATATTAGGGGAATTCTCTACCTCACCATTTTTTTTTTTTTAATAGGATATAGTGTCACTACGCACATGCTCCTCCCTCCCACCCCCAGCCTACACCCAGACATAATAGGGAGAAATAAGTATACTCTTCAAGCTTGCTTATCTCTAGATTTGAGGATAAAAATTACAGTGGTATGGAGTCAGAGTGGTTTTGCTGGTATGGGTAGGAGGAGAGTGGCCAGTGTGGACATAGTAGCCATAACTTGCTGCTCCAAACTCTAGAGTTTCTCTCATTGGCACCACATTCTGAATTTTGACTTGAAATTAAATTCCTTAGTGGTTCCTTATTGATTGCTGGTAGTGATTTAAAAAGAAATTTTTGTTTGTTTCTTTTATTAAAATTGGGGAAGAAAGAGTCTGTAATCTAGCTGAATGCTCTTATATCCCAAGACTCTGACAACTACAGCTATCCTCAGTTCCTTATTTTGTAGATTTCTGTGCTGAGAGACTTTGTTTTCTCTTAACCATCCTAAGGGCACTGTAGTATTTTATGGTGGGAACCCAGTGATGGGGCCCTTCACCATGGTCTCCCTTCAGTCAAAAGCCTTCCAGTCACCTTCCTTACTCCTCTTTATGGTCAGTTTATACCCTGTAGCCACTGTTGGAATCTATGGTTTTAATGAGATCAAGGCCATCATCTTTGAGCTGGATTATAATTCCTTGATGGTAAATTTACATCTGTAATCTCTGTTTAGTGTCATACCTTAGTCAAATGAGTTCATTTAACTTTTAAGTTACATTCTCAAAACTAACCTAAGAGTTAGGAGAAATTTTCCTTATTATCTGTTGAAATCAACTTTAGTCCAGTTAATGGCATTGAAGTATTTAAAAAATACAAGTTCATAGAGTATTCATGATTTACTTACTAGTTTGTTTCTTATTTTTCCTGATTTTTCTGATTATCAAAACCATGTGTGTTCATTGAGGGAAAATTTGGTAAGTAAAGAGAAGTATTTTAAAAAACAGTGTTGGTCCCTAAATTGATCTGCAGATTCAGTGCAATTCCTATCAAAATTCTTGCTGCCTTTTTTGTAGAAATTGACAAGATGATTTTGAAGTTCACATGGAAATGCAAGGGACTCTAGCCAAAAAAATCTTGAGAAAGAACAGAGTTTGGTAGACTCAAATTTCCTAATTTCAAAACTTAATACAAGGCTACTGTAATCAAGAAGATGTGGTACAAGCATAGAGGTAGGCATACAAGTCAATGGAATAGAATTGAGAATCCAGAAATAAACTGTAATACTTATGGTCAATTGATTTTTAACAGAGGTACCAAGACAATGTAATGGTGGGAGAGAAGAATTTTTTCAACAAATAGTTCTGGGACAGCTTGATATCCACATGCAAAAGAATGAATTTAGAGCCCTCTTGCACACCAGAATTAACAAAAATGGATTGAAGACTTCCATGTAAGAGCAAAAACTATAAAACTCTTAGAAGACAGTGACTACGTAGACCTTGGATTAGTCAGTGCTTTCCTAGATATGACATCAAAAGCACAAGCAATCAAAGAAAAAAATGATAAATTGGGTTCCCTTAAAATTAAAAACTTTTGTGCTTCAAAGGACATTTTCAAGACAATAAAAAGACGCCCACAGAATGGGAGAGAAATATTTACAAATCATATTTCTGACAAGCATCTAATATCCAGAATATATAAAGAATTCTTACCTTACAATTCAATAATAGACAGTCTGACTTTAAAAAATGGGCAAAGGAAATGAATAGTTCTCCAAAAAAGATAGGCGAATGGCTAATACGCACATGAAAAAATGCTCAACATCATTAGTCATTAGGAAAATGCAAATCAAAGTTGTGTGACAGGCCGCACTGCTAGGATGACCATAATAAAAACAATAGACAATAAAAGTGTTGGTGAGGATGTGGAGAAATCAGAACCTTATGTATTGCTGGTGGGAATGTAAATTGGTACAACTGCTTTGGAAAACAGTTTAGGGATTTCACTGGTGGTTGAACACAGTTACTATATGAACCAGCAACTCCACTCCCAGATACCATATGGGTTTTCTTTGGAGCTGGAGTTTGATAGTGGTGATGGTTGTACAATGTTGTGAATATAGTAAAAACCACTGAATTATACACTTTAAAAGGGTGACTTTTGTGGTATGTGAATCATATCTCAATTAAAAAGATAATAAACAGAAGAGAAGTCACCACAGAGCCTGCTGCCCAAGAATAACCGTAGCTCATGTCAATTGAGCATTTTACAAAATGCTAATTAGTGCTAGGCACCTAAGCCCTTTAAATATCTTCTCCTTTATTCTTCACAGTAGCTTTATGAATCTTCTGTCAGAGCTGAGACTCCTGACTCCTTGCCCAATGTTCTTTCTACTAATTTGCTGTCCCTGTTTTACAAAGAATATTGGGGGAAGAAAGAACATGCTAAGTTGGAATATCATTAAAATACCGTTTTACAAAGTTAGGTGCTTTACTCAAACACACAGTTAACCAAAAAATATTTATGGTTTGGTTCAGTTAACATCCAGCACTCAAGCTTAAAGGAAAACAAAATCTTGAGAAATGAGTTAAATCTCTGAAGTTAGTAGTTTAGTGTCAAGGAGTTTATGGTAATCTTTTGGTTTTTTTCAGAGATTGTAATAAAAACAAGTAAAATTAGAAACTTCCCTTAAGTGTCTATTCATCTTGTTCTGTTTTATTTTAACACTGGAGTGGAAAAGCTGGTTGGATTTTGTTTTCACTAAATATGCTACAATCCATTGCTATTCTGTGAAACCAGAGTGTTTAAAGTAGATGCATCAAGAAAACACTTGAAAAACTTTGTTACACTGGTTGATTTTGTTTGTTTTCCAGCGGTCCCCAACCTTTTTGGCACCAAGGACCGGTTTCATGGAAGGCAGTTTTCCACGGGGGGGTATGGGGGTGGGGGGGCGCGGGCAGGGGATGATTTCAGGATGATTCAAGTGCATTACATTTATTGTGCGGTCAAACCTCTCTGCTACTGATAATGTGTATTTGCAGCCGCTTTCCAGCGCCAGCATCACCACCTCAGCTCCACGTCAGATCATCAGGCATTAGATTCTCATAAGGAGCGTGTAACCTAGGTCCCTCGCATGTGCAGTTTACAGTAGGGTTCGCACTCCTATGAGAATCTAATGCCACCGCTGATCTGACCGGAGGCAGAGCGTGTGTGGTGATGCAAGTGATGGGGAGCGGCTGTAAATACAGATGAAGGTTCAGTGGTTTGCTGGCTAGCTGGCTGCTCACCTCTTGCTGTGTGGCCTGGTTCCTAACAGGCCACAGACCGGTACTAGTCTGCCGCCCAGAGGTTGGGGACCACAATTTTACACTTTTAACATTTCAGAGCATCCAAGTATGGGTTCAGAGGTTTTACCCTATGCATTTCTTTATTGATTAATATTTGTTCCTTATTAGTGGGCATCTAAAAAACTTACTTAAAACTCCTTGCAAAAACAAAACTTAGGTACTTTTTTTAAAAGAGTTATTCATACTTTTTAATAACTTTGACATAAAAATATTGTATTTTTAAATCTATTTTTAAAATCTTGGTATTGGTGCTCTGGCTTTATTCTTTCATCATATAATTAAAGAAAATATATTTTCTGTGAAAATTATTTTTTATATTATATATATACTGTTTTGTAATATAACCCCCAAATTAACTGTAACATTCTGAATTGGTAACATTGTGCATAATAACTTGTTTTAATGTTTTTGTCTTTCTTTAGGTTGGTATTTTGTGTGGCATCTTTTTTTATCAAAATTCAAGTTTCTCCGAGAACTAGTGGGAGACACAGGATCCCAGGAGGGAGATCATGAGCTTTCAGGGTCTGAAACCGAAGAAGACACTTCATCTTCTCCACACAGGATCAGATCTGCTCGCCAGAGGAGGGCACCTGCTGATGAGGGCCACTGACCCCAGACATAGTCTTTTATTAGTGAATGATGAAAAGCAGTTGCTAGCCTCTCTTTAGTGACTTGGCCTGGAAATTTGCTGAATGACTCATGAACATTTGTACTTGGATTTTAAGTCCAATTTAGAAAAAGATTTACATGTAAGCCATATAAAAATAAAGGGAATTAAAACCAAATTGAACCATTGCAAACTTCATCTTAAAGATAATCTTTTGCTTCACTAGCTTTCTACTTATTCCTTGGCTCTTGGGCTTATTTTCTTGCTCTGGTGTGAATCTGGTAAACATTACAAGCTTAAAAAACCATATTTTATTAGTCCTAAAATGTATACTTTTCTTCGTATTTTAACTTGTCTAAAATTGGGATGCATCTCATTACTGTCAACCAGGCGATAGTCATGTAATTAATCTACCTTGTGCATGTGCGAATTTATAGCTTGTCATAGTGTCATCACTTTAACCAACATGAGTATTGTTGGTACCAAATGTGTCAGGTTTAGTTGACATTTAAAAATGTCTTCAAAAAGATTACACTATGATTCAGCATTGAAACGGAAAGTTATTGCGTACGCAGAAAAGCATGGAAACAGAGCAGCAGGACGTACATTTGATATCAGTGAAGCAAATATCCGTCGTTGGAGAAATGACCGCAATTCCATATTTTCTTGCAAGGCAACAACAAAATGCTTTACAGGACCTAAGAAAGGAAGATACCCACAGGTAGATGAAGCTGTACTACATTTTGTCAGTGAAACACGTGCAAAAGGATTGCCTATCACACGCCAAGCAATGCAGTTGAAGGCAGGAGAAATTGCCAAAACCCTCGGAATTGATGAAACGAAATTTAAAGCAACGAGAGGCTGGTGTGACCGTTTCATGCGTCGAGCAGGACTGTCGTTAAGGCATCCAACATCATTTTGTCCAAAGCTTCCTGCTGACGTCAAACAGAAGACAGTAGTGGAGCGCTCTTTCAAGAAATGCTGCATCACCACTCCTCTTGACAACACCGAGGCGGGTGTTATGTGGAAGAATGCAGATATCTATGCCTGTGATTTGAAAAGTGATTCAGAAGAGTTGGACTCAGAATATGAAGTTATAGTTATAACTTAACCAATTTATCTCACGCATTTTCTTTACATATGCACAAGATTGATGCGATCAAAGTCTGTGTAACTCTTTAAACGCTGTTTTAATAGATATAAAATAAACATTTTCTGTGATATGAAAGCATTGTGTCATAGTTTAATGGGCAATGTTTTTTCTTAGTGATACACGTGGTGCATCTTAACAATTGATGGTATCTCAGATTAAATTAAAAAATAGTTTGCAAATTTATTTTTCTTTTTAAGATAGCAGTTATTTATTGGGGACCTTAATTCTGACTCTTATAATGTTGAAATTGTTATCCTGTGTGAAATACAGTTTTTTGGGTAACGTATTTAAGATATTATAGTAGTAACTTAGGAATCTAAGAACTATCTTCTACTTTAGGAAGAGTAGGATTAGTTACTCCCTTTGTATGGGAGGACTTTATGCTCAAGGCATGTGCTGTGGAAAAGAATACTTCTTCACAAACAATTCAGTGACAAAGACCTCAGAGGTGCTAGGTATTGAGGAAAAAACAGTGGGCGAAAATACCCGCTTAGCTATAAAATGACTCCTGCCAGGTTTCCGTGTTTGTCTTTACTGAACTTTGGACTGTTTACTAGAGAAGAGAGAGATGAATTAAAGAACTTTCCTGTTCAGTGTCACCTGCTTTGTGTAAGAGTGAAATGGAAAGCCAACTTAGTTTTTAATCCAAGTTCTTTTTACGTTTTTACCTTGGCTTTCTTAAGAACTAGTCATCACAAAATATTTAATTAACCTCTATTTTATGATGGTGTATAATTATGTTTGATACCTCGTACTTCATGCTTACAGTTTTGTTTATTAACTGTTTCACTGGCTCTTTCCCACGGTAGTATTCCTGATGAACACCTCTTTGCTGATACTGTAGCCTTTTGGAGATACTAAGAGGGAACTCAGAGCATAACTTTAGTCCTATATATTTGCTAGGGGAAGATTCCCAGGTGCCGAGAGTGGGGCACAATCTTTCTTTATTTCCTTATTAGATGCACTTTTCTATTTTTATGTGACTCTAGGGCATAACGAAAGTGACACAGTTTCAAGCATGAATTTTAATGCTTCATAGTAGCTAAATATCACATTAAAATGATCATCAGAGAAAAAAATGAGTGCCCAAAAAGCTTCTTGGTACTGGGAGGATATTTAAGTTACATTTTTTCATAGTCTAATGTTTTGAGCTATGGATTCTGCTCTATGGTGGATATCTAAGGTTTAGATAATAGTTTCTGAAAAACTTTAAGTAGCTGGTAAGCTTCCTGTTGTCATTGTTGAAGAATGATGGCTCATGTAGCCCTCCCCCCAAAATCTACAAGGGTCATGCCCAAATAAATACAAGTTAATCTATGTGAACATATACATGTTGGCATTATTTATTGACATTTATGCTTCAAGTATGTCTTATTTTGTAGAATTTTAAGAAATGTTCTGTTTAACTTGAGAAATATACCTAAAAGTGTACTAATAGCTCACAATTCGCCATGTTTTTAACTCTCACTGGGGGAGAGTAAAGAGAAATTATTGATGCCAATATGAAGATGTTCAAACTAATACTTTGTGTAAAACTTTCTTTTCCTGCACTCCACAACACACTTACCATAGTAAGTATTTCTAAAGCCACTAAGAGAGGCGAGAGACATAGTTGTTAATGCAGAATTATTTATGTGGTATAGTGTTTCCATTCTTTTTCCTGTTTTAGTGTTTTTGTAACAGCTTACCAAAACTATAACACAACTCCATTTTCAGTCTCAGTGGGAAATGGACTAGCCATTGATTAATTTTAAAGTTTAAAAGGTTATGGACATTAAAAACACTTGTAAGTATTAGAATCTTGTCTGAACCTCACAAGGAATGATGGTGATCAAGTATGGCATCTTTTGAGGATTAATTCTAAAATTGAGAACTGTGATAGGCGGTTTCATTTCCTTCCCAGCCAGCCATTCATTCCCAAATCGTCCATTGCCTCTGAAACTTTTTGTGAAAATTGCCTGTACCGGTTGTATTGATAGCATTGCTCTGATTTAAATGCTCCAAACACTAAATATTTGTGTAGCAGTGTTAAATGAGATGGTAATATTTATATTAAACTGAACATAAAATTCGCTTAATGGATTTTGTCGTGACATTTTCACAGTGGAAACATAAATATATTGTTAAGTGATGAACAGCCATTTCACAGACATGCAGACCCATTTGTTTAGATATTAGGCTTAAAAACCATTTCAAAATGTTATTTTGGTGGGAGTTTGGAATATACAAAGTAATGGATTCATGAAATATGGCATCTTAAAACATATTGAATGATTTGCAAGTGGTGCATTTTTACTTTTAAGAGCAACAATTTTTGAACTTATTTTAAGTCAGTGATGCAACCTTTTTTAAAGTCATTTTTTTCTCAAAAGTTATGCTTTAATGTAACGTGTAACCAATGTCACTTTTGATTTTGACTGGTAAACTTCAAGTACTTTTATATTTGAGGTTAACTTTAAAAAGCCAAAGGGCAATCCTCAAAGGTTATCTATAGACGCTCAAGTGACCTAATGCAATAGTTTTCTATCATGGAGTCTAGAACTAAAGCACCTTTTATTGTCTGCTTGTAAAGAGTGAGTGTCCTATTGTTTTTAATTTAAAGCATAAAGAGTAATATTTTATCTTATATTAATAAAAGTTACATTTTCCATTTGTTAGTGTACATGTGCTACCTGTTTTATGAGGAATGTTTAACGTTACCCTCCAAGTCAGTTCTGTGCATAACCATTCACCAAATACTGCTGCTGCGGTTTCTTAGAGGAAACATTCTGTGTTGTGCTGTGATGCATAGTCATCTTGCTGCTTGACAATAAGTTTATAAGCAAGTAGAATTGTGTTTTAATAATGCCTTTGTATAATAAGATGTAAAATTAGATGAGGAATGTGTGTAAATGATCATTCACTGTTTTTGTTTTAAAACTGGTCAATGCTATAAAGCTTCTGTGGTTTGTATGATGTTTTAACTTTCACTTTAAACTGCACAGAATAAAATGAAAACAAAAGTTGTGTGTGTCTCGTTGATAAAAGACAGTTAAGTATTCAGGGTGCCTTGGGGACATGAATTTGAAAGCAGCCATTTTTGCTAATGGTCCACACTTCACCTTAGTTTCGAAACTTAAAAATCTGTAAGAATTGAGAGGATAGCAATATTTTTTAGTGCCATGAAAATAGTTCACTTAGAACCTAAAGGACATATAGATAGCATTAGAGATTAATTATTACACTTAACCCTCTTTAACCTCTTATTTTGTTCTCATACAGTATCCAGTACCCTCAAGATTGTTTTGGTATCCTATTTGCCATAGATCTTATCTCACATATTAACCACCAGGAAGATTGAGGAAGCTGAACAAAGCCAAGTAAAAAGATGGAGGAATACCCTTGAGAACCTCTTCAAGATAGAAAGCCATCATTTCAGTGGCTGGAGGCCAAAGTTGTGATTTTTCTTTAGCTGTGCTCAGCTGCCAAGAATGTAGGATGGGAAAAAGTGGATTGTGCCCGGGTTGGGTTTTATAAGGCAGATGTGTCTGAAGGGCAAGGTCATTAGAGATTGGTGGAGATTGGCCCTGGGATTTGAGTTGGGTTGTAAGAGAAGTTACATCAATAAGGCACTGGCAAACTGGGTGAATGGAAGGGGTAGAGGGATCAGAGATAAAATGGGTCTGATGTATATAGTGGATAGAACAGGAGGTTTGGGGTGGAGACTAGGATTTTAGAGGTAAACACTTCTGAGCAGCGACAGTAAATACATCCATAGAAAGGGGGGTCTGAGAACTATGACTCATTCGGGGTATTGTGTAGCCCCTCAGCATGGTCATTAACTGTAGTTACCTGGATATTCCTAATTTGGGGGAGGGGACGGTCACTGGTTTGACACCAGAGATGTTCAAAAGATCTAGGTCACAAAAGGTCTTGTATGCAGTGGCAAAGGCTTTGCTGTTCATGCCGTATGGGATAGAGAGTACTGAACTATTAAATGGAGTGAGAGCACTGATTCATTTGTTTAACACACAGTGACTGCTCTTCCAGGCACCTGGACTAGGTGCAGATGGCTTAGCTCATGCTAACTGTAGTGAGGAGAAGTGACTGGAGTCACAGTGGAATCAGTGTCTCTTAACTGATTCGAGCAAGAAAATAGTAAACTAGTGGCAGACTGGAGGGAATGACGACCGTGGAGAGTTTGAGGATGTGAAGAATCCATAGGACTTGAGATTGTATTGTGAGGCCAAGTGAAGGAAAAAGATAAACAAAAGACGATTTCAACATTTAAGTTTGAAGTTGATAACATTAAGGGATGCATATAGAAGAAGTAGGTTTGAGATTGTGCATAGAGACACGGAAGATGGAAGTCCAGTTTGGGGCGTATTTTGAATTTGAGGTGCTTGTACGACATTAGGTAGATAGAAATCACCAGTTTTAAAAATAGTATGAGGGACATGGGTTGAAAACACAGATGAAGCTGAAGTGGTAGGCAAAAATAGGATTCCCCAGGGGGGAGGATGGAATAAGAGACCCAAGGAGTGGCACTGCTGTGATTTGAATGTTTTTTCTCCTCCAAAATCCATATGTTGGAAACTTAGTCACCAATATAACAGTATTGGGAGGTGGGGCATAATGGGAGGTGTTTAGGTTGTGAGGGCTCTGCCCTCATGAATGGATTAATGTTGCTATAAAAAGGACCTGTGGGAGTAGGTTCTCTTTCTGCCATGTGAGGACCCAACATTCCTCCTCTCTGGAGGATGCAGGAAGGAGCCATCTTGGAACTGGAAACCAAACCTGTCAGCACCTTGATCTTGGACTTTCCAGTCTCCAGAACTGTGAGAGAATAAATTTCTGTTCTTTATAAATTACCCAGTCTCAGGTATTCTGTTGTAGCAGCACAAAACAGTCTAAAATAGGCTGCTACAGTTTGGATATTTGTCCCCTCCAAACCTCATGTTGAAATTTGATCCCCAGTATGGGAGGTGTTGGGTTATGAGGGGCAGATCCTTCATGAATGGCTTGGTACCGTTCTCTTTTAGCAAGTTGAGTTCTTGCTGTATTAGTTCCCCAGAGAGCTGGTTGTTAA